AAGCCCCGCCGTGGGCGGCGGGCCGGGCGCGATCCGGGGGGCGCCCCGGCCTGCGTCCAGGACGCTCAGGCCCCTCTCCGCGCGGAAGGCCAGACCCCCCACCCGATCGCCCGCAGTCCCCGCGACCACCGAGGGAGGCCCCCGCGGCAGCCTTCGGCGTAGAGCGCCCACTTGCTTCTTTGCCACCTCTTCTCTGGCCTCTGTCCGACCTGGGCCCCGGCCCCCCGCACGGCCTTCCCCAGCCCCCCACTCTGGAGCCTTCCATCTTCCGGAGCTCCTGGAAGCAACGCACACGGATCCGCGCTGAGCCCAACACATTCCCCAAGCCCTGCCCTGCCCTCGCATACCCGGTCTCCTTGCATCCGTGAGGCTCTGGCCCTTTGGGGTTCTTACCCTCTGGCCTCACTACCCCTCCCCCACCTGCTTGACACCTATCCAGGCATCTCCCCCTCCCCCCGGAGATATCTGTGTCCTCATTCCTCCATCTCCCAGTCACTCAAGCACCCCCCCCAATACACACAGATCCCCGTCTTCTCCTCTCTGTCCCCTCAGTCAGCCTTACTACCTTGTCTCCTATCCTCTGACTCTGGGGCTGTTGCTCAGGTCCCAGGATATGAGCCTCTGTCCAGCGGGGAGTCCCAGTTTCCACCCCCAGTCTGCTGTTCTCTCCATCCTCCCCTGCTCTTCCCAAGAGCCCAGCTGGGCTGGAAGAAGGCAGAGTGGAGATATTCCCTACAGAGGAAGCCGGTCACTATGAGTCTCTGCCCATCCCCCCCCCACACACAGTGGCCCCTGGGATGAGTTTCTGCTTGATGTAGCAGGTTTGGATGGGAGGCATAGGGACCTCAGGAGCAAGCCTGCCCCCCCCCCCCAACTACTCATTCTGGCTTTTCTCTTTCAGAAAACTGGCCATTCCCGCCGGGCCTTTGGCCGACTCACCCATGGTGCGTGGACTGTGGGCGTCCGTGCTAGCCCATGCCCATTTCTTCTCTTGGTCCATGTCCCTTCATGAGGCATCCAAGCCTTGAAGACAGCCCATGAGATGTGGGCCCACCCCCCCTTTATCTACCCATCCCCCAAGAAGGCCCCCTGGTGCTCTGCAGTTGAGGACCTAGTAATGGGGAGCGGGGCTTATTATTAGCACACCCTATCGTGGGCTGCACTCCCTTTTCTCCATCTGTGCGGCCAAATGGCGAGGAGTGGCGACCAGTACATGGCTTCTGCTTGTCATGGCACCCAGAGGGAAACTGAGGCACAGAACCTGATAGAATCTGAGTGTTGAAAATACGCCCAGAAACCTTTGCTCCTAACCTAACCACTGGGCATTTTTGAGAACCGTTCCACAGTAGTAGAGAGTGATCTTGAGGAAGGTGCCTGTCATATCATGATGCGGATAGATGGGGGGCTGGCTTGCAAGGAGGGGTCAAAGCACAATGCAAATACTGTAGTAGAGGGTGGGCCTGACCCCTAATGGGAGGCCCAGGTCTGCGGCTGGGCTAGGCACAAGCAGGTGTGTGAGAGTGGCCTGTGGCAGCACTGTGCCAAAGGTACCAGCACCGCTGGGGCAGTTGTAATAACCAGCCCAAGATGGGGGTTCCCCAGTGCTGGGCATATCCCAGGTGTCTCCCTCTCCCATCCATCCCCACAGGGCATCTCTGGGCACTGGGTACCTCACATCCTCACCTCCCCTCTGTCTTGCCTACCCTCCATGTCCTACCCCGCAAACGCTCTGATAACAGTCTGTCCCTGTCTCTCTCCTGCTGCTCCTATGGAAGCGAAGTTTTCCGCTCCTGCAGAAAGCAAAGTTACGGTAGGAAACTGGCTCCTGCCCTAGTCCCCCACTCCCCACTCTTCCCCGTCCAGCCCCAGCCTCTCCTCACCCTGCCTCAGCTGCACTCTGATACCTTCCAGCTGGTTTGGGGTAGAGGACAGGCTGGCCTGCGGTTGGTCGAGTGCCCTGACAGTACGACTCTGAGGTGACTCCCCTTTGTTCCTGGGGTACTGGAACCCAGACTTTAGAGCCTTGGGACCTAGGATCTGGTTATTTTGGGGGCTTAAGCTATTACTGATGAGGGAAGGAGGGAGAAGGGATGAGGCCCTAGTAATGAGGCGGGGAGGGAGTTTTGAGAGCCCTGCAGAGGCTAGGGTGAGTAGCCAGGGAAGGAGCCAGGGCACTGGCATGGGAGGGGTGATCCTGAGCAGCCCAGGTTGGCAGGGGGATGTGGGGAGCCAAAGAGAGGAGGTGCTGGCAGCCCTACCAGTGATAAAATGGAGCCTGACGTGGGGGAGGCAGGAGGTGACAGGAAAGAGTTGGAGGCAGAGGGAGGAGGGCCCTGCCCACACAGACCCCTTCTTCTCCAGACTCGGAGACGGCTGAGGATGACATCAGTGATGTGCAGGGGACCCAGCGCCTGGAGCTTCAGGATGACGGGGCCTTCAGCACCCCCACGGGTGAGCTCTCTGGGGTGCTCCAAAAGCAGGCAGGTGGGTTTCCCACAGGGGGTGCTTGGTCTCACAGTGCTCCTTTCTCTAGGGGGCTCTGATACCCTGGTGGGCACCTCCCTGGACACACCCCCGACCTCCGTGACAGGCACCTCGGAGGAGCAAGTGAGCTGGTGGGGCAGCGGGCAGACGGTCCTGGAACAGGAAGCGGGCAGTGGGGGTGGCACCCGCCACCTCCCGGGCAGCCCAAGGCAAGCACAGGCAACCGGGGCCAGGCCACGGCACCTGGGGGTGGAGCCGCTGGTGCGGGCATCTCGAGCTAATCTGGTGGGCGCAAGCTGGGGGTCAGAGGATAGCCTTTCGGTGGCCAGTGACCTGTACGGCAGCGCGTTCAGCCTGTACAGAGGACGGGCGCTCTCGATCCACGTGTAAGTAATGGCCTCACCTGGGCCCGCACTGCTCCATCTCATCATGCTGTCCTGCGCTGCCCTCACTGCTCTGTCAGCCTCCACCCATCACCCTGCCCCACCCATCTCTGTGCACTCCTTCACCCCCCTGCTTCCACTCTGTCGTCCCACATGCTCCCTCCCACTGAGCCATCACCACCCACATGCTCCTGCTCCCACCTGTCCTGGCTCACCGTGCCATCTCCATGGTCTTGGGGACCCTCTGTTCCTTCCTCATCTCCTTCAAGATCTCCAGTTTCTCAGGGGCCCTCTCCCGCCTCACCCATTCAGGCTCCAGTTGTCCCCAGGATCCCCCCCCCCTCGGGGGCCCCCTCCGTGCCTGCTGTCTCAGCAGCTGCTGCCTTTTCATCTCTCTGCACATTCCTGTTCCCATGTGGGCCTTTTTCTGGGAGGAACAGAACCTTTCTGCACGGCAGCTCCCGGGAGAGCAGGAGAGAGCAGGGGAGCAAGCGAGCAACCAGGAGAGAGAAGAGAGCGAGGTGGTCAGGGGCAGATGGGGCGAGGGGCCTGTGAAAACCCGAGGCCGGAGGCTGCAGGCTGGGGGGGGGGGAGGCAGCAGGGGGCTGGGAGAGGGGAGAGGGAGGGGCTGGAAACGGGGATGAGGTAGAGATAGAGGGCTGGGAATGAAGGTGGCAGGGGGGTTCGATAATCTCCATAATCTCATGGGAAACCCCCAAACGCCTGAGGGTAGGATTCAAGGTTGTCTTGGTAGGGGGTGGTAAGGAGCGGAGGAGTTGGGAGTGAGGCATTGGAGCCATTTTTGGAGATTTAGGGCTGACAGATACAGGAGGGAGTGCTGTGGCAGAAGAGAGGAGTAGCTGAGGATACAGGTATTGGGGGCATTTGGGGAGCCGGGGGGGGGTGGTCTGTGATGGGCATGGATGTGGGGGCAGGTGCCATCGTGGGAGAGAAGGAAGGGGCCTGTTGGGAGGAGGCTGTTTTGAAAGTGGTTGGAGTGGCCAGCGGCAGGCAGGGAAGAGGGTCGGGGCAGGGATGGGGGAGCCTCCTTGGTTTATCTTGTTGGCCTTATGGGGTGACTGTGCTCTGGACTCGCTTTTTCCCTGCCTTTCTTTGCCAGGCCTCAGCCAGAGCCTGGAGTTGCTATGGCAACTTCGGAGGAACCCATTTCCTTAGTGATGTCTGTGGTAGAGACTGGCCTGGAGCTGCCGGCAAGAGGCCTCCTTTGCTGTTCCCAGTTTCTCTCCAGACCTCACCCAATTCCCAGAGGCCATTTCTCAGGGACTCTGCTGCCCCTCCTCCAGAGTAGACGCTGCCTCCCTGCAGGTGGCTGGCTGAGGGTTTTCTCCCTGGGGCATCCTGCATTGCCACCTTTCCCTTTCCCCTAGTCTGAGGTGGGTCTGTGGTGTGTGTGGCAGACCCAGGTAGACAAACTCATCCTTATACTCGGGCACTCCTAGAACTTCTACTCATGGCTGGTACTCTCTTTCTCCTCCCTTCTGTGCTCCGGGATACCCAGACGTTTTGGAGAGCATAAGGGCTCAGGATTCAGACTACCTGAGTTTCAGTCCTAGTACTAACCATTTCCTAGCTGTGTCACCTTGGTAAGGAATTTAGCTTCTTCTAAGCCTCAGTTTCTTCATCTGCAAATGGGGGTGATAACAGTTCCTATCTCACAGGACTGTTGTGAGGATTAAATGACTTAATGCATTTTAAGCACTTAGTACATGCCTGGCACACAGTAAGTATTCAATGAGCCATTTCCTAAGTTTGTATTAAGCTGTCTCTAATGTGTCATCAGGCACGATAATAGCTCTGATTCCTTTTCTTGCTAATCTTTATGCTTGCTGTGCCCCCACAAGGGTACAGATGGGGGAAACTGAGGTCTAGCTCTTGAGCACCAAGGCTTTAAGGGGTGACTAACTCCCCTTTTCCCATACCCCCCATTAATGCCCACTTGGTAGTTATTTCTGATCAGAGTTATTTCTGAGCTTACCCATTTGAGGGGCTTCTGTGCTTCTCAAGGTGGTTTCCAAGGACTTAGTATAACTTTCCCAGGGGCAGAACAAAGTCAAAGGCTTGGGGGCGATTGAACAAAGGGAATGGGAGCCTGGGTATCCCGTTGCCACCTGCTGTGTACTAGCACCACAGGTGACAGTGTGTTAGGGATGGGCTTGAGTCTGCATAGCGCGAGCGAGGTCATCTCGGAGACGGGCTTGTGCCTGGTCCAGGAGGCGGCTGCTTTTCTTCTAGGGACCTCTGTGAAGGGGCTGTGTCCTGCTGAGAACGGGCGGGCGGGGGTAGAAGGGCCGGCCAGGGGCAGGAATGAGCGGGAGGCCGCATTCCCGAGAGGGCCCGCCCCATCCACTCCTGCTGTCTTCCCTCACCGCTTCATCCTTTGGGCCCTAAGCCTCATTCTTTTCTCTCCCTCATGCTCAGTTCTGTTCTGCTGTTTCCCGGCTTCTGGGGCTGGGGGGAGGGGGCTGGCCAGAGTCCCTGAGGCTGAGTCCGTACCTGGACCCGGCCACTAGCCCAATCTTCTGATGCCAGAGCCGCCAGCCTCTCCCCAGTACCTGCTCTGGCTGCGCCCGCCTCTTCGGGGCGGGGGTGGGGGGCGGGAGGGTCTGGCCCATGTCACCTCCAAGCCTGCCCAGCATGCCCCACCGCCCAATTCCTCTCACAAGCCAGGTGTCTAGGAGGGGAGGCCCCCTGAATCTTCCACCTCTCTCCACCTTGGTTCTGCAGCAGCGTCCCTCAGAGCGGATTGCGCAGGGAGGAGCCTGCCCTTCAGCCTCAGTTGGCCAGCGAAGCCCCGCGTCGCCCAGCCCCTCCGCCTCCCTCCAAATCCGCGCTGCTCCCCCCGCCGTCCCCGCGGGTGGGTAAGCGGTCCCCGCCGGGACCCAGCGCCCAGCCCGCGGCCACCCCCGCATCGCCCCACCGGCGCGCTCAGGAGCCCGTGCTGCCCGAGGACGCCACCGCCGAAGAGAAGCGAGGGAAAAAGTCCAAGTCGTCGGGGCCCTCGCTGGCGGGCAC